GAGGTCATAGTCCAAACCTCCGCCAAGTCAACCACTCAAAATCAAAGAATAGAGGTGCCTATAAGAGTGTTGGTAGAAATCAATATCGGTATTATAAAAAAATAATATTGGAAGATCGACTGCCCAAAGTTAAAGGATAAAGCCGGGAAGAACAAGGGGAAAGCTGTACAAGCTTCAGAAGTGAATGTTACAAAAGATGTTAGCGAACATTCAGATTTAGATTCCTTGGACTATTCGTGTCGTGCACTACCGTCGGTTTGCTATGCCGACTCTATGGATTGGATGTTGGATTCGGGAGACACATATCATATTTTCCCTAGGAGGGATTGGTTCTCCATCTTTGAGGAGCTAGAAAGAGAGAATATCGTGCTTATGGGAAATGACCATGTTGCCCTATTGGTGGTATTGGTTCAGTCTGGATCAGGATGCATGATGGTGTGGTTAGGGAGTTGAAAGAAGTGAGGTTCGTGTCGTAGTTGACAAAGAACATCATTTCTCTTGGTACTTTGGAGGCAGTTGGTTATTGGGTGACCTTAGAGGATACTACTGTGAAGGTCACGAAGGGTTCTATGATGGTGATGCGAGGAGTCAGGGAAAAGTTCCTATAATACTTGAAGGGCAAGATAGTTACAAGGGTTCTGGCAGCTTCTATCACTACAGAGGAGGACACTACCACTTTATGGCACATAAGACTAGGACATACAGGTGATAAGTACCTACAATCGTTGGCGAAGCATGGGATTTTGAAAGGTGTTAAGACCTACAAGATGGAGTTGTGTGAGCATTGTGTACTTGGGAAAAAGACTAGAGTGAAGTTCGGGTCCGCTATTCACAATACCTAAGGTATATTAAATTACGTTCATACAGATATTTGGGGCCTTTCCAAGAACACATCACTTGGTGGAGCTAACTATTTTGTCACTTTCATTAATGACTATTCCAGGAGGAATTGGGTATACCCTATGAAGCATAAACATGAGGTCCTGAACATTTTTGTGGAGTGGAAGAAGAAAATGGAGCTACAGACAGGTAGAAAGGTAAAGACTCTATGTTTAGATAACGGTAGAGAGCATAAGAGTGATCCATTTCTGTAGTTTTTTCGGGGTCACGACATTAGGCGACACTTTACAGTTAGAGAGACATCGCAACAGAATGGGGTGGTTGAGAGATTGAATCGTACCTAACTGAAGAAGATGCGATGTATGATGACATAGAGTAGATTGCCTAGATCCTTTTGGGCCAAGGCGTTAGTTTATGCGAGCCATCTCATTAATAGGTTGTCGTGCACTGTGATACAGGGGAAGACTCCTTTGGAGCATTGGTATGGTTCGATAGCTAGTGACTATGAGTCGCTTCGGATATTTGAGTATCCTACTTATTATCATGTTAGTGATGGTAAATTAAATCCGAGGGTGAGGAAGACAGTCTTTGTGGGATTTAGAGATGGAGTTAAAGGCTTCAAGTTATAGGATCCACAGGATAAGAAGATAGTTATTAGCAGGGATGTCATATTTGATGAGACATACAAGATGAGGCCTCAAGTTCCTTGGCAAGTGGAAGACCATATTCGAGAGATATCACAGCAGGTGGAGGATGATGTCACTCCATCCACTCTAGATAGCATTGTATCCATTGAAGCTCCTACAGAGGTGATACTAGGAGGAGATGAGATGACAGCTGGACAGATAGATGATACAGTGGATTGTAAGACTCAGAAGTAGGGTCATGTTCATGAGTCTATTGCAGCGAATAGAACTAGAAGGGTGATTCATTGACCAGTTAGGTATAATAATATCATGGTTGCATATGCATTATCAGTGGAGGTCGTTGATGATATGGTTCCATCCACATTCAGGGAGACAGAGTCTAGCCCCGATTCGATCAAGTGGAGGGAAGCTATGGAGGAGGAGATGTGGTCTCTTCAGGACAACGACACGTGAGAACTTGCAAAGCTACCTAAGGGTAAGAAAACTATTGGTTACAAGTGGGTATATGTGAAGGAGGGATCTTCTATTGGAGACATTAGGTACAACATCAGATTGGATGCTATGAAATATACACAGCTTGAGGGCATTGATTACAACAAGGTATTTTTACCTGTTGTGAAGCATTCATCGATTTGAATTTTTTTAGCATTGGTGGTACAACTGGATTTGGATTTGGTCCAGATGGATATTAAGACAGCCTTTCTACATGGAGATTTAGATGAGGAGATCTACATGACACAACCATTGATATTCAAATCTGCATGAAAGAAAGATTTGGTTTGTAAGCTGAAGAAGTCTCTTTATAGTTTGAAGCAATTGCCACGACAGTGGTACAAGAGATTTGACAGCTTCATGATTGGCCATGGGTATATGAGGAGCCCATATGACCCATGTGTTTACGTGCACAAGATAAAGGATGATGAGCACATATATTTGCTTTTATATGTTGATGATATGCTTATTGCTTCCAAGAATTCTTCGGCTATTCGAAAGTTGAAAGAAGAGTTGTCATCCAAGTTTGAGATGAAGGATCTTGGAGAAGAAAATAAGATATTAGTATAGAGATCGAGAGAGACATGGTGAAGGGGAGATTGAAACTTACACAGAGGAGTTACTTGCAGAAAATGTTGAAGAAATTCAGCTTTGATGGTAATGCAAAAGCAGTTAGCACTCTATTGAATCCCCACTTCAAGCTTTTAGCTAATATGTCACTTGTTTCTATTGAGGGACAAAGATTATATATCGAAGGTTCCATATGCCAGTGCGGTGGATAGCTTGATGTATGCGATGGTGTGTACGAGGCCATATTTTTCATAGGCCATGAGCATGGTATCGAGGTACATGCACGACCCCAGGAAGGGTCATTAGGAGGCCGTGAAGTGGATTCTATATTATGTTAAAGGCACCATGGATGTTGGATTGATTTTCTAGAAGAGTGAGAAGAATGTGCAGGATTGTATTGGTTACATGGATTCAGATTATGCAGGAGATCTTGACAAGCGCCGGTCTACTTCAAGTTATATGTTTACATTGGCAGGAGCATCAGAATGTTGGAGATGTACACTTCAGTCTACAATGACTCTCTCTACTACAGAGGCGGAGTATATGGCGTTAACTGAAGCTGTTAATGAGGCTTTGTGGTTGCGTGGATTGTTAGAGGACTTGGGGATTGCACAGGAGACCCTTTAGGTATATTGTGATTGCATATCGGCTATCTATTTGGCAAAAAATCAGGTTTATCATGCACGTACGAAGCACATTGATGTCAGATTCCACTTTGTTCGTGACGTATTGGATGATGGAGACGTCATATTAGAGAAGATCCACACAAAGGACAACCCTACGGAAATGTTAACCAAAGTTATTTCAGGTGTGAAATTTGATCATTGTTTGAAGCTATTGAGCGTTCTTAAGTGTTGAGGGCCTTTGGAGGCCATTTGGGTGAATTACGTTCGGCTTGATTCCTTGGGAAAGAGGATACGTAGGCAATCATGTTTGATGAAGCTGGTTGGGTTTGTTGATTTCGATGGGGGGAGAGTGTTTGAGCTCTCGTTTGGGCTCCCGACTTGTTGTGGATTGAGTCCGTTAAAGTGAGTTGTTTTCACTTCATCCTGGACACAACAAGTGAGATATTTGGATGTTTTTATGTCGGCTCAATGTTGGTAGAAACATTTGCCGAGGTGGAGAATTGAAGAAATGACGAGCACAACGACGAAGACCGCAGGAAAAACAGCAGGAGACATTCTGGCAGTTTCGCGGTCGACCTCGGATGATGCTGCGGTCGACCGCAAATGTGCACACGACTGAGAAAAGTCTCTGGACTTTTTACGGTCAATTGCGATGGGTTCTGCGGTCGACCGGCCAAACCCTGTATGGGTTTTTAGTCTCGGTCGTTGGATCCGATTGACCGCGCGTGGTTCTGCGGTCGACCGCGAGTCGGGTCTGCAGTTGAATTTGGTTTTCTAACCCGTTTCGTTCTGAGTTGATATATAATCTTAATCCTAATTAATTAGGGTTAACCAAGGATGTTTTGAGCAGTCTTTAAGATGGGATTGTTGTATCCAATTGTAGGAGAGTTGTGAGAGATCTAGAGGCTTTGTTTTAGGGTTTATTTGGTGAGATTTGTAATCCTATTTGTATTCTCTTGATTTCTAATAGTGAGAACTCCCCTCTCATTGCCTCGTGGACGTAGGCAACTTGCCCAATCAAGTAAAATTCGTTTGTTTTGTTGTGATATTGTGTTTGGCTTATTGGTTGTGATTTATCTCGTTTTTGTTCATGTGGTTTCGAGCTTCCGCCGCGCACAACAGATACGCACATATTTTACATCAAAATATGGATATGTACACGATCATATATCATCAGGAAGAGCATGGGCTATCATGATGAGCAAAATATGTCTAATACTAAGTATTTAAATATATAAAGAAATAAAAGGTGATAGATAGCAAGTTGGTACTTGCTCGAAGGCATTTCCATTGAAACAGATGACGCTGATAAATGAGTCAATCATTTGGCCACCAACAAAAACAAACTGTCAGCAGTAGATGTCAAGAATTGGAAACCAAGTAAAACAGAAGGGAAAGATAAAAGAGAGAGAGAGAGAGAGAGAGAGAGAGAGAGAGAGAGAGAGAGAGAGAGAAGCATCGCTCGTTTGGTGACCAACCAACGAATCATTTTTGGTCCTTCGCAAGCAAAATCGGTAGGAGAGCTGAGAGAGAGAGAGAGAGAGAGAGAGAGAGAGAGAGAGAGAGAGAGAAGCATCGCTCGTTTGGTGACCAACCAACGAATCATTTTTGGTCCTTCGCAAGCAAAATCGGTAGGAGAGCTAACCAAACAAAAAACAGTTACTAACAGCTCTTCATGCAACCCTCCATTTCACTCTCCCTCATTTCACAGAGAGAGTACATCCAACGCGGAAAGGAGCTTAAGCTTATCAAATCCGTAGACAGTTATAAAATCTCAAACTGGAAAAGCCCACAAGAATCTTAGATATCTCAAACTAGAAAAGCCCACAAGAATCTCACCTGAGAAACATTCCTCTCCTCATGCCTCCCCTCCTCCGTTCCATTCTCCTCTCTTTCTCCCCCCTCCTCCTCCTCCTCCTCTCTCAAACCTCATCAAGACCCTTACCTAAGGGTTCCCACCTCGACCCCTCGGAAACGCCACGATATCTCCATAAATTTGGCTACTTACCAAAACCCGTTACAAACTTCTCCGATCACAGCGACCCAGAGTTCAAATCGGCCGTCTCCCTCTATCAATCCAACCACGGTCTGGCTGTCAGCGGGAAATTAGACTCTGCCACCCTAGCTCAAATGTCAACGCCTCGATGCGGTGTCAGCGATAAAATCACCATTAACAACAAAAACGGCAACAACAACGATTCGGTTGTTAGTCACTACGCATACTTCCCGGGCCAGCCGAGATGGACCAGAGCAAGGCCAGTTGTGCTAACATACGCTCTCTCGCCTACAAACAACATTGACTACATCCCTAGGCCCAAAGTGGAGGCCGCAGTCCGTCGCGCCTTCGGCCGATGGGCCAGAGTCATCCCTGTTAAGTTCCGGCCCGCTGAGGACTATGACGCTGCCGACGTCAAGCTAGGATTCTACAGAGGGGATCACGGTGATGGAGAGGCTTTTGACGGGGTTTTGGGGGTTTTGGCCCATGCGTTCTCGCCGGAGAGTGGGAGGCTGCACCTCGATGCGGCGGAGAGATGGGCCGTGGACTTTGGGGTGGAGGAGTCCGATGTGGCCGTGGATTTGGAGTCTGTGGCCACGCACGAGATTGGGCATGTTCTTGGGCTCGGACATTCGGCGGTTAAAGAGGCCGTTATGTTCCCCAGCCTCAGCCCGCGGTCTAAAAAAGTCGAGCTAACGGTTGATGACGTTGAGGGTGTGCAGGCTCTTTATGGGTCGAATCCCAACTTCAACATCACATCTTTTTTGGAGTCGGAAACATCGTATGCCGTTGATTCAGTGAGAAGAAGTTTTATGGGGAATTTTGTGGGGGTCATTGTTTTGCTTTTGTGTGTATGAGGGGATAGGATTAGGCATATTTTTGATTCAAAATTTTTTTTCCCCATATTATTTGATGAACAAGTTGCATATGAAAAGAAGAAGACGACGGAGAATGTACAGAAGAAAAATGTAAATTATGTTAGGAAAATGAAAGGAGATAGGTAAGTGGAGTTTGGAATGGACATACCAACTGGTTAGCTTATGATTTATTATGGTTTAAATTGAAAGTAAGAGTTGATGTCGTTCCCAATCATTTTGTCTTCAATCAAGGATAAGCACAATTTCATTATTATTAGAGTCATAGTCGTTCTTTTACCAAAAAACGTATGATTTTTAATTTTGGCTGATTTAGAGGGTGTTTGGGGCGGTTTACTTTTTGGTCATTTTAAGTTAGCTTTTTTATTTGCATATGGTTGGTAAAAATACCAAATAAGGTAGCTTATAAGTTACACTTGAAAAAGCTAGTATACACCGGTTTTTAAAAAGTTAACTTATAAACTCACATAAATAAGTTAGGTTTGACCAAGCAAAGTATTATGTTATCCAAACAATTTTATAATAATTTTATCATAAAAGCCAAAAGACACTAAAAGCTAACATAACTTATAAGCTTAAAAAAATAAATCCAAACACCCTCTTAGTCTCTCCTAATGACTTTTTAGACCTAATAATTACTAGCTAGTTAAGTAACTTGTGTATGGTACAATTGTAAAGGAATTGCAGGTGTACTTCTTTTTGACATTTTCATTAAGATTTGTTGATGCAAGGAAAAACCTTATAGATTGAGTCTGCAAGATTGGACATGATGTTGAAAAGCCATTGGCCATCCTAGATTGTTGATTTTGATCTTCACTTTAGATTGCCTAAGATAAATAAAAAAAACCTTAATTAGATTGCCTAAGATAAATAAAAAAACCTTAAATCGATTAACGTGGGATATCCACCATGTCCCATTTAATGTCAAAGTAAGATTGTTGATAAATGGTAAGTAGTAGGTATGAAAATTAGGGTTTTGAGAGCAGAGTTTCATAGATTAGGTCAGCATGGCCAAGATAATCAAGATGAAGGATCTTAGAGACTTTCTGATATGGGCATAAACATGTACATAAGTTGCACGAGAACAACTATCAAGTTACAATATAAAATTTAGATGTCGAACCCATAAGGAAGGTGCATGCTAGAAAATTTTAAATTTGTCCTAAAAATGTATGGACAAAGAGGAGTGAAAAAGAGTATGTAGAGAGGGAATTGTCCCCCAACAAAAAAAAGGAAAACAATAGAGGAAAAGGAGATAAAGCGGAAACAAATAAGAAGAAAAGAGGAAAAAGAGGAAATTAAAAAAAATAAAAAGAAATGGAATCAAGAAAATAATTAGAAATGGGAATAAAATAAAGCCATGAAAAGAGAAATTACGAAAGACATCAAATCTAGAAAGCGCGAGGAAAACCAAGTAGAGAAATGATGAATGTAGAATTGAATTCACTAGTTAATTTCATTTAGGATTTATGAACTATTCTCTTTTTATCATATTTTACTTTAAATTTACTAAGCATAGATTATCATACCACTAAAAAAATATTCTATCAAATTATCATCCAAGTATTACTTTCATTCAAGAAAAGGATAAATAACTAGATATTAATTCTAGAATTCATAAACATAACCTATAAAGCCATTCAAGATAAGTATGGATTATCAAATTCTTTTTCTACCAATTAGTTCTCTGGCTGATTATCCTAACATAATCAATTTAAGCATAAAGAGAACAATCCATAAATCATAAAATACAATCCTGAAATTCCTACAATAATTAGTTACTCATTTTGGAAAATAAAAAGAAAGAAACAAAATCTGTACTAGAAAGCATAAAAGAGCATGAATTAGATCTAAACTACAAGCAAGAAAATAGAATCTAACTATAAAATAAGGAAAAAATGAGCATAATAGTAAATCAACACTACAAAATAAGAATTAAAGAAAAATATAGATCATCTAAAAGAGAAGAAAAGAAATTCTATAAATCATGAAAATAAATCGAAATAATAAAAATAAAAGAGCATGAAAGTAAATCTATATTACAAAGCATGAAATAAATCTAATCAACCAAGATAAAAATAAAAATAAGAAAATAAAACTATAAACAAGCATTTCCAACATAAGAAAATAGAAGGAGAAAATAAAAACTTCCATCGCATGGGGTTGGCCCCTTGAAGGTAAATCTTTATCTTCATCAACAAAGATGGAGAAGAAAAAATTTAAAAGGAGGAAATTTTTTTATTTACTACAAATAAAGTTTATAATTTTGGAAGGACTTCTTAATTAAAAGTAACCATCCTCTCTTAATAGAATTTTTACAAAAAAATTTCACACTCAAGCCTCTTACCCTATACCCCTTATTTATCTACAATAAACAAGAGCCATTAGATTAGACTTGGGGCTGTCAGAAATAAATCTCAGTGATACACTATTTCTGTTACAAACTAATCGGTTAACCAATCAATTGCTTAATCTATTAGTTCCTAACAGATTTGATCCCTTTGTTGACTTGTTGACACCAATTTTTTTTATCTAAGCTAAACATTAAAAAATTTAATTACTTTAATTAAAAGTCTAAGTTAGGACTTTAATGATGTATACTACTTTGAGAGTCATTTCTTAAGAATATTATTTAGAGTTATCATAAAAGGTTAAATTGAATACAAAACTAACTAAGAATTAGAAAGTTTAAAAATAATTCATTAAGTAAATCAATTACTGATTGACTTTATTAAGTTGGCAAGTGATAATTTTTGAGGGAAAGAAAAGGAAATATGAAATAAAAAGAAGAAGTAATAGTAATATAAAGAGAAAAGATGATTAGTCTCACCCACACACATAAATTTTACATTGTTCTCAATGCAAACTATGTGATGCACAAATAAGTAGATATGAAACTAAACACTTACATTTGTTCGGTTGACCTTAAATAATAATAAAATAATAAAAATCTGTAATTATCTTTGGTATAAGGAGGATGTAGCCAAAAATTATCTTTTTCACTTTTTCTTTTTACCACTTTTTAAAATTTTCTCTTTTTTTCCAAAAGAATAAGAATTCTCAAAGGAGAGATGAATAAATTCTTTTTGTTTTTCTTATTATTATAAGTAGTGGTGCATTCGATCCGGATACAGCTCGGATATGATGCTTACCATATCCATATCCACTTACCCATCTCAAATACAGATACATATATACCTCGAAAAGAAAAATTCATATACATATCTACTAATATCGGATACGGTTATGAATATACATGCGGATATGCATGGGAATATAAAACAAATATGAGAAAACTAGATATTATTGAGAAAAACATAGTTCGTGTGATACAAAAAGAGTTCTTTAATATGTTTATTATAACTGAAAAGTTAAAATTAAACATCTTGATCATCAAAATTAACCATAAATTCATAATCTAAGAATGGAAACTACCGTAAGAGTATGACTGTTGATGTTGTATAATCACATAGATAAACTGATAGGAACTGAGTTGATTAGGGGCTGCTAACTTCTCCGAATATTTGGTTTAGAGTTGAACTGTTCTTCCCTGCACGTGTAGCAACTCGTAAGAGGGCGGGGGTATGATGTTAGGTCCCATATTTATGAGCCTATTATCTAATCTGGTTTTGATGATTAAGAAACAAATTCCTAATATCATTTGTCGAGTGTTTGCATTTGATTGTTAGGTATCCTACACAAAGATCCTCTGTTGGAGGTTGGTTGGAATTGATCTTAACAATGACATTCAAAGGAGGTTGGAAGGAAATTGGAATGAAGCTGTTGCAATTCAAGTTAACGACATTATCGCTTCATCCTTACTACCAAGATCAAGCTAAACGGAGATTTTTATCTTGGGTATATTAGTTTAGATGTTTATATTTTGTGTGTTTATACTTAAAGCTTAAATTATTCACATACGCATGTATCATTTCATATTTTGTGTTTTTAGATTATAGACTAAATAATACTATTTTATATATGTTCTAAAGTCTATCAATCTATTAAAAAGAATCTCAGAACTCGTTTGAAGAAATTTCATTAAAATTGTGTTTTCAACAAAACTTGTATTCTGAACTTTTTGCAAAACAACAAGTTTTCACAAAGGGAAATGATATTTGAAAATTTTCTTTTCTAACATGTGAGTTTTCATTAGAATAAACAATTTTCCAAGTTTCATAATTTTTAGAATTTATTTACTATTTTTAAACACACTTTGAAAATCAAATTTACAGTTTAATTATGAGTTGTGCACGTTTTTCGGTCGACCGACTGTTCAAACAGTCGACCGATAAATTGCTCTATGTTTTCAATTTTTTTCTTCTTAGACAACCGATCTTTATCAATTGACCAAACAGTGCTATCAATCGACCGATTATTTGAATTAGTCGACCAATTGTTTTATGACTGTAGCCAACGCTCACCTTATCAGTAGACCAATGCAATCATCAGTCGACCGATTTGACTGTAATGGCTAGTTTTCTATTTGCTTCATTTGAGAGGTTATAAATAACCCTCAACTCATTTTTGTTTTCAACAAGTTTTTACAAGAGTTTCAAAAGGGCAAAATGGCCAGATTGGTATATTTTTTAGAGGCTTAGTGACATGTTGGTATATATATTTTTAGTTTTGTCAGATTAGTATAAATTTTCGACTCCGGCGCCATATAGGCCTTAAATTTGGCCTGAGTTACTGTTCCGGCTAGGGCTGATGTGATTTTTTATAAAAACCCCCTTATCAAATACAATTTTCTGCTCCTAACCCCCCATCTCCCTCCTCCTCCTCATGTCCCCCTCTTATTTCTACAGTGATGACGCCGGCGCCGGCGCCGTCATAGTGCCCCGCCCATGGCCAACCTTCATCTGCTCTCTTCCTGCCCAGCTCCACAATCCTCGTCACGCCGCCACCAGCAGCACCGCTCTCTTCAATAGTACCACCTATTTTGCCTCAGTATCCACGCGTAGCGAGTCACAAAGAGATCTCTAGCTGAGGTTTTGTGAGTCTCTTCTCCATCGACCCTCTCATGTCCTAGTGCAGCGAGAATGTGTATTGAACTTGATCTTAGGAAGGAGCGGCCGTAGTTCATTTGAGTTGGTTTGTTTGAAGGTTTTAAACAAGCGATTGCTTATGAGAGAGTGCCC